TCCTGGACTCACTTTGTAGACCAGGCTGGCCTCAAACTCACAGAGATCCACCTGCTTCTGCCTCCCAGAGTGCTGGAACTACAGGTGTGTGCCACCGCGTCCAGTTTAAACATGTTTTTTGTAGAGTGTTGGAAAGATGGCTCAGGGGTAAAGATATTTACTGGTAAGCCCAGTTTGAATTCAACGACCCACATGGTGGAATAAGAGAACCAACTCCTACAACTCCTACAGGTTGTCTTCAGACTTCTACACTTGAACAGTGGCACCTACACACACACACACACACACACACACACTTTCATGCACACTTTAAGAATAATTTTGTATGGCTAGTGGCTGCTTTTTCTGCTCTTTCTCAAGATGTTGGATTTTTCTGCCCCGGATGTTTTACAATGATGGAGCTTTGCTGAACAGCGCCCTCTGCTGCTGGTGCACTGAAACACATTTCTTTCTCCTTTTTTTTTTTTTCTTCTGACTTTCAGCAGCCCACTGTCTAGTTTATTTATTTTTATTAATTACACTTTATTCACTTTGTATCCCCCATAAGGCCCTCCCCTCCCGATCCCACCCTCCCTCCCCCTTCTTCACCCATGCCCCTCCCCAAGTCTACTGATAGGAGAGGTCCTCCTCTCCTTCCTTCTGATCTTAGTCTATCAGATCTCATCAGGAATGGCTGCATTGTCATCTTCTGTGGCCTGGTAAGGCTGCTCCCCCCTCAGAGGGAGGTGATCAAAGAGCAGGCCAATCAGATTATGTCAGAGGCAGTCCCTCTTCCCATTACTATGGAACCCACTTGGACACTAAACTGCCATGGGCTACATCTGTGCAGGAGTTCAAGGTTATCTTCATGCATGGTACTTGGTTGGGGAATGAGTCTCTGGGAAGACCTCTGTGTTCAAGTTTTCTGGTTCTGTTGCTCTCCTTGTGGGGTTCTTGTTCTCTCCAGATCTTACTATTTCCCACTTCTTACATAAGATTCCATGCACTCTGCCCAACAGTTGGCTATAAGTCTCAGCGTCTGCTTTGATAGTCTGCAGGGCAGAGCCTTTCAGAGGCCCTCTCTGGCAGGTTCCTAGCTTGTTTCCTGTTTTCTTCTTCTGATGTCCTTCCTATTTGCCTTTAGGGATGGGGATTGAGCATTTTAGTCAGGGTCCTCTCTCTTGATTAGTTTTTTTAGATGTACAGATTTTAGTAGGTTTATCCTATGTTATATGTCTATATGAGTGAGTATATACTGTGTGTGTCTTTCTGCTTCTGGGACAGCTCACTCAGAATGATCCTTTCCGGGTCCCACCATTTACCTGCTCAACGTCATTAGCCATTAGGGAAATGCAAATCAAAATGACCCTGAGATTTTACCTTACACCCATTAAAATGGCCAAGATGAAAAACTCAAGTGACAACACAAGCTGGAGAGGGTGTGGAGAAAGGGGACCCCTCCTCCACTGCTGGTGGGAATGTAAACTTGTACAACCACTCTAGAAATCAATCTGGCGCTTTCTCAGACAACTAGGAATAGTGCTTCCTCAAGATCCAGACATACCACTCCTAGGCATATATCCAAAAGAGGCTCAAGTACACAATAAGGACATTTGCTCAACCATGTTTGTAGCAGCTTTATTTGTAATAGCCAGAACCTGGAAACAGCCTAGATGCCCGTCAACTGAAGAATGGATGCAGAAATTGTGGTACATCTACACAATGGAATATTACTCAGCAATGAAAAAGAAGGAAATCTCTCTTCTTTTAATTACACTTTATTTAACTTGAGACACCACCAAGTCCAACTACGGTACAAGTTCAGCTATGTGGTATCAAACTCAGTTTTTGGAAGATGCTATACAAGCATCTATAAACAAAGCTACCAGCCCCCTGAAATGCATTTCTTAATTAACAGTGTCTTTTGGGGCAGTGTTTGGGAAAGTTTGGTGTCTTGGAAATTTTTGTTCATGAAATCTTTGTTTTTATGAGTTTTTCTCATATATATCCTGGCTGACTCTCCATTTCCACAAGGCCAACAGAGCTGGTGCTAATTTCAGATATTTCTTCCGCATTCAAATGAAATAAGAGTTTGCAGTATTGTGTCCTGGCTACATATGAGTTAAATATGATTTTATCCTGATTTTTTTGGCTTCTATGTATTTTGAAAGATGTATGGGAAAAACTCAGATTTAAGTAGTTTACCATTTTTTCAGAGTCCTCGTTTTCTTGACAAAACTTGTAAATACCAATAATTTTTTAGGCAAGACTTCCATATGGAAACTAAAGTTCTTCCTGAAGAAACTGAGACTGATAAACTGAGAAAAGGAGCTCAAAAACAAGTAAGTGGGAAAACAAGGGGAAAGTTTAAAGGAGTGAAAAGACAAAATGGTTCTCTCAAGTCTAAGCAACTTTACCCTTCCTCCTCCTCAACCTGTTGGACCTATGGCCAATGTGTTCAGGGTAGTCAGTTTGTCTTGCTGTCACTATGTCCAGAGCCATTCGGAACGACATGTCTAATGACCTTACAGTCAATGGCTCTAGACTGTCGGAATATGTAAACAATCTCTCAAGACAGCAGCTGCTCTAGCCTTAGACCTGGAGTTGGCGATTCATCTCTTTATTCCTCATCAGAAGACTGTTCTTCCATGGCCTTGGATGGTGGCATAGAGAAGTCAGAGATCCAGGCTTGCTAAAGGGACTGACCCCTGCGCCTTGATGCAGGAGAAACACAACCATTCAGTCTTTTGGCTGTTGATGAGGCAGCGGTCTATATACCCCACTTCTAGCTACATTTATCACATAGGTTCGTCGTGAGGGACATGAGAGGCTGCCTGCAGTCCTAACTAGCATCTTCCATCGCACTCGCATCTATGTAAAAGCGTAATTTAAGTGGGTTTCCTCAAGTCTAGCAATGGTCGCCATTTCATTACTGTGATGCTCAACGTTTATGGTTAGAATTAGTGTGAAACAGGGTGTGTTATGGGAGGCCGAACCAAGAGGATTGCTACAGAGGTCAAAGCCAGCCTACATTAGAGTGAAGGGGCCCCGGGTACACCCAGCTGAACTCCATAGTGGGACAAACTGGTTAGCAAAGCACAAAGTGCTCTATGGAATACGTAGTACCCAGAATTCTCCAGAGGTCTGCCATCATTTATGGTCTTCCTATCCACAAAATTACAAAACCCAACCCCCACCTCAGTCTGGTCTAGTCACCAAGATGGTCCTCATCCCTTTACCTTGCCTCTCTAGCTTAAAAGAGAGGCCCACGTTGTAAAATCTGAAAAGTTAAATACACACAAAATAAGAGGTTTATCCGGGGAAAGTGAGTGCCTGGGCTGGAATGCAGCCAGGGGTGCTAGGAGCGGTAGTCTGCTCCACTTTGCCATAGATCATTCTGTTTGCCCCCATTTTCTCACCGTGTTCCTCAGAAGCACTTTTTCCCCCCACCTGTTACAGTCTAACCACCCCTTAGTGGCAGGAGGGCTTTTTCTCACGTAAATTTGGCGTATGTTGTGGATGTTCAGACTGCCTCCCACCAGCGAAGTCCAAAGCCTTTCCCATTCAGCCTCACCTGTGGCCCAGGCTGCTGAGGGGGCCTCTCCCCTGCCTGCCATGCACCCTCCAACCTACTGCAGCTGCCTGGATTTTCCTTTCTAGCAAAACTCAGGTCAAGTATCAGCTGCTTCCTTGGCCTCTCCTTAGCTGAGCTACTTCTGTTCTCTCAAGGAAGGGGTTAAGTTCTAATAGTTATAATCACTCATGTTCTCCAAACAAATGGAGAAGTCAAGGGCAAAAATCTATTTACCTTTGTATCCTTAGAACCTAAGGAGGTTTGATGAGAGAACTCGTAATAACTGGATGACAAGACACACTCCTAGGCTCAGCTAGCTCCCTGAACCCACTTAGGCTATGCCGTCCTGCAGAACTAACCAAGAGCCAACAAAATGGCACAGCAGGCAAAAGTGCTTGTCATCAAACCTGAGGACCCAAATTTCACCGCTGGTACCCACATGGTAAGAGAGAATTGACTCCCAGAATTTGTCCTCTGACACAAGTGCAATACGACAAATACTTTAAAAGCTAAATTAAACTTAAGCCTCCATGGCTTTTAAAAACCAATTTTATTCTGTGTGGTGGGGGGACACAGAATAAGGGGAGCACACCTTTAATTTCAGCACTCAGGAAGCAGAGGCAGGTGGATCTCTGAGTTTGAGGCCAGTCTGGTCTACAGCCTGAGTTCCAGGACAGCCAGGGATACACAGAGAAACCTTGTCTCAAAAAACCAAACCAAAAATCCTACAGTTTTATTTTCAGATATTATTCACCCATTATGGACTCAGTGCATGTCTGTTCTACGTTTTCCCTGGAAGAGCCCCACAGCATTGCTCACCTCACTGTAGGATTTCTGACTCTTCCAATGTCAGCTCTAACAATCTGTCTTTTCATTTTAATGGCTGGACTAAGGCAATGTCCAAGTGTGAAGCCCAGAGAGCAAGGATATAAACTCTTCCCCAAAGGAAAGCATGTGGGTACCATACGACAACCTAACACGCAGCCATCCTATCCAGGTGGCCTGCCCTGGCCTTCCCGGAGCCATGAGTTTAGAACTTGCTTACAGCTGGTTCCAGCTACTAGAAGGTCCCACAGATGAGATCATACCAGGATTAGAAAAGGCCAGGGCTTGTGCCTCTTTACATTTTCCCAGATTTCTTCTGAAAGGGCAATTATGAACTTCTTTCAAGGCCCCAGTGCCTACCAGATAGCAACAGCTTTAACAGGTGAAGGACAGAGCAAACAAAAAACATGCGGGTACACGAACAGGGCAATGATACAGCAGGAAAACAAACAAACAAACAAACAAACAGGCATTGCTTGCCACCATTACTTTGCTTAGGTTACTCTGTTTGCCTCGCTTTGCAAACCACGGACAACTGCGGGTAATGGCAGACCTATCAAGTGGCATAAATGAGAGAACTCATGAAAACTTTACAGTGTATAAACAGCAACACAAGACTAAATCAGTTGATTGCATATTAAGCAGAAAAACGTTTATTTCTACCAAATTCAATGAATACAAATCAATCGTAGGCAAGATAACAAAAATCAGTTAATACAATGAATAATAGCTAGGCGATAACATACACAGACAGAACAGACTCAGATACTCTGAATTAAGCACATATGCCAAAATCAAGAGGAACACCAACTGTCACACAGAAGAAAAGCTGACCTGTTGGCTCCTGGGAAACTAAAGATCAGATTAGGTTAGGAGATTGGCTTGAACTTGAAGGATCACAGTGAAATACAATTTTAGCTCAACATAATCCCCCCAGGGATCCGTTCAGCTAAAAAACAAAATGCATAACTTCAGTAGTATAAACTCTCCTTTAAAAAAAAAAAAAAAAAAAAAGCATTGAGCCCTACCATTTCTTGCAGCTTACACACAGGCCAGGTTTTCCATTTCTTCCCTTTTTCCTGAATCCGAGACAAGGTGCAATGTGCTTTTCAAAGGTCTTATAAACAAGAACCCTTTACTGGAAGACACTGTCCTTCTTATTGTCACTAGAGGGGGTCCATATGAATGCTACATGTGGACCTTTGCCACCTGAGCGAAAGGCTTAGCCTGTCTCCCTCATACCCCAACCACAAGCAGAATGGTCAAACCGAGTGCCCGGAGGCACAGTTGATGGCATTTATTCTGGCAAGAATTGTGCAGTTCACCACACCAAAATAAGGAATGGCATTTTATGGTTAATTTTAATGTTTTAATAGATCCCCTTATCTTTATGGCTTCATGGTTTCCTGACAGCTGGAATTGAGGCAGATTAGCCTAGGATTAAACTTAAGTCTGCCTGGAACCCTTGTATTTAGCAACTTCCTTAGCAATGCTGCCACTCCAGTGATGTCTGCTGCTCTGAGCCCACAAGCAGACCCTAGCAGGCTCGTGTCCCTGGCTTGCTTAGGCCAAAAGACATACAGCTAAAATGCAGTAAAAGGCCAAGGGTTCTTGAATCAGGGAAAACCTGGGACTGAACTATAGCTGTACTGTTTTACTTTTATCAAAAGCCTGGGTCAAGACTTCGTACCCTGGACTCCTTGTTTATAGGAAGGAGTGATTGTGTCTGCCTCATGGGATGCTGGGAAGATTCATTCTACCTTTGTCAATATACTTTCAGTATTAATGTTCATTTAAAAAAAAAATCATGTAGAAAAGAACAGCCAAGTCTGCCGCAGAAAGTATCGTTTTTTAAGTCAACGGACATGAAAATCGGCCAAGATCTTGGAAAAGATGTGTTTCCGCCCTTGCTGCCGAGATCCGAGATCGTGTCCCCAGTGCTGGCTGCCTTAGTCTACTGAGCTTGTAATGCGTAGAGAAACAAGAGTGTGTAGGCAAGAATTTGCTCACACCCTATTGCTCTCCCCAATCCCTACAAGAGGGAAAAGGAATTTGCTGTTATTGTCCCCTTCTTTTGAACTACCCTGAACCCCTTTACCTCTCTACTTCCCAGTCATCTGAGGGCGACCCTACTCTAACCTATATGTTTCCCACACCTGGCCTGCTTCCCCGAGAACCCTGGGCTTTTATCACCCCATCCCTACCAAGTGACGTCCAAATGCAAGCTTCCAAACTGCTCAGCATCGTGACAATGCCAAGAGGTCAGATCTGAGCCGCACCGCTGCACCTCAGCTCTTTGAGGGGGTGCTGGTCTGCATCTCCTCACAGGCGGCCAGAGAACATGCACACGGAAGGACAACTAAGAAGACACAAGAGTCTGGGCAGTGCCATGCCAAAGACGGACTCATCAGCACACAGAACATATGGCAGTGAAGGACTGGGGACTCCCGTGACCCCTTCAGAGCGTAGTAATGTCCGTTTCCACTAAAGTGCTGAGTCCACCCCAAACCCTGCCCCCAACCAGACTGTGAGATTCACACTAAAAATCACTGCCGGTGATAAAGGACGCTTCCTGGGGACAGGCAGAGGCAGGACACTTTTTTTAAGGCAAAAGGAAGACATTTCACTGTTCTTCCCAGAAGAGTAAAAAGTATACAAGGTGGCCAACAAGTCTGGAAACCAGAAAAAAATCTTTTAACAAATGCTTTATTGACATATAATCATTGACAAAATATTAGTATCTTCATTTCTGGACTTCATGGCCACCTACAGACTGAGTCTTTGGAATAGGGAGAAAACAAAAAGATTCTGCGTTCCCAAAACAGTAAAGCTGCCTTACTCAGTGCAGGTCTATGTTCATCTAGTGCAAGATGCTCCATCCAAGCCCACAGGCTTGTTCCCTTTACTGACTTCTCCCGGTCTGCCTGGATCACTCACAGAAGAAATGCTGGCAGCATCGATATTTAGCAGATGTTCAGCCTTGAACCCAGCCATCTTATTAGTCCAGTGATTTCTATACAATTACTTCCATATAGAAGATACAATCACCCCAATTTCCATAAGTGGGCATTTCTTTCCTTTTCTCCCCTGCCCCTTCTTCTGAAGACGTTGAGGAATCTTTTTAAAACAATAAAAGGTACAGAGTGGGCTCAAGACAGTCAGAGCAGCTGTTTAGCAAAGGAAGCCTTCCGCCCAGCTAAGTTCCCAGTATGAAGGAAGGGACTGGATCTAGTCACCTAGTTCTCAGAAGTTAGAAGGGTGAATGCAGAAACTACCATGTTACTGAATAGCCTGGGAAGGGAGCAAGCGGATGAGATACAGTCAACAGAATCTAGGATTTCTGAGATCGAGATCGGAGGGAGAAAGCAGCCATTGAGTGCAATCAGCGTCAATTCAGTTGTCAGAGGGTATGGCGGTGGACAAGCCATGACCACGCACCTTCACGTTCTCAGGCTGACGGTGCTGTGGCTTAATAGCCTGTAGAAGGTGGTTATAGGCCAGAAAGCCCACTGTTGCATGCAAAAAGGCTATGCAAGCACATGGCTGTCAGCCCGTGCAGAGTGTAGGCTTAACGCCGGTGGAAATCCAGTCTGCCCTTGCTTTCCTGTGAGGGGTGTGACACAGCTGCAGAGCTATACCTTCTCTTCAAAAGGCAGAGGAGGGTTTCTTTCTTCATGAATCCTTCCTACCCACTAGATTTTCCTCATCACTTCATCACTTAAACTAGAAAAGATGCTGCAAGCTATCTCAGCTAGCTTCTAATTTGGCCAGGGCACCAAGACGCCACGCACGGCTGAGTGACCGACAACACCTCCTTGGCTCTTCCGATGGCAGGCTCGGCTCAGTATGCTTCTTTGGATTGAATGGGTGCGATCTTGTTCGAGAAAAGTGAGTAAACATGAGGCCAGATTCTGTTAGTCTCTGTCCCAGAAAACTGGTGGAGGACTCCACGGCTCCTGAAAGACAATCCAAATAAACACCATTAGGTTGCTTAACATCGCATCAGGATAGGAAAAGATCCAAGGTTAAAAAAACAGGCACCAACCCCCTGCTCTGTTCGTAGTTTTCCAGCCAAGCCTAGCCTACCTGAATCACTTATTTACACAAAGGAATGTGAAAATATCTGAGCCAATTAAATAGGAAAATGAGGGCTGGGGGTGCTAAGGGCTGGAGCTTAGAGCTGAAACACCTGCATGAAGCCTTAGTTTCAACTGCCAACTCCCACCTGACGCTACCCCATCCCCCAAAAAGGAGCCAAGTCTAGATAACTTCTCAGACAGCTAACGAAGTTTAAGTCTCGTGTTGTAATAGCTCCGGAATGAACACACTGGACTCCTGTGCAGCAACTCCACCACTTCACTCACTTGTGGGAGGGATGGGCCTTTAGACTTGGCTGCCTTGGCCGAGTGCCCTCCCCACCGGGCCCCACGGTTAGCGGGTAGGCCTTGCTCTGAACGCGTACTCACTTGTACAGCTCGATGACCGGTTTGGCCGCATCCTTGTACCGTCGCAGCTTGGCAGCAACGGCTTCAGGTTTGTCGTCCTCCTGTTGGACGAGTGCCTCGCCAGTGATGTCATCGATTCCCTAAAATACCAGAGAAGCCAGTTACCGCGACGAACCCCTGGGCCTTCCGAAGGTCTTCTCTCACTTAAAACCATGTGATGAGAGCGAACTCCGCCCACACAGGCAGCAGGCCTCGCCGTGCTGAGCTCGCATCCTGGAGAAAGCACTAAATCCTAACTACTCGCACCTTCAAACATGCCCCATCACTGCTGCTAAATGACAGATTTATTTCATGTGCCTTAGTACGTGTCTCAGTGAGAGTGTTGGATCCCTTGCAACTGGAGTTACAGACAGTTGTGGGCTGCCATGCAGTGCTGGGAACTCAGCCCCGTAAACTGACCTTCTTCCTCCACACTACATGTGTGGGAGTCTGTGCCTTGGCTCCCACACATGTACACAGCCATATGTACACAAATAAATAACTGTGACGCATGCCTGTAATCCCAGCACTCAGGGAGGAAGACACAGGCGCACCTCTTGTGAGTTTGAGGCCAGCCTAATCTACAAAGTGAGTCCAGAACAGCCAAGACTACACACAGAAACCCTGTCTCAAAACAAAGTAAAAATGAAAGTTAAATATATTAAGAATTAGTGGATATGCGTCTTCATTTAATATGTGTCTTCATTAAAGGAGGGTGGATCTGTCTGATTTCACAGACAACCTCATCTACATAGTTCGTTCTAGACCAGCCAGGGCCACATAAGCAAATTTCCTATCCTATACGTTCCAATCCTGTAGGAGGCACAGCCACCTACATATGGCACAGCAGCAGCAGCAGAATTCTGCTCCAGGCCCCACAGCTGTCCGCTCTGGGAGAAGCTGCAGAAGTGAATCTGACAAAGACAGGCGAGGGTGAAACTGCTAGGCTCAGGCAACTCTGGACCACTGAGGCCGACCATGACAGTGACATCCTGCTGGGGCCCTGGGATTCACCACTATCCCGGGCAGAGCGTGTTGGCCTGACAGGAAGGAAGCGGCCGTGCCTGACCTGATGTCCTCAACGCTGAGAACTCACTTTAGAGTTCCAGCAAACCCTGTGCTGCCTCCAGAAGGACAACTGGGCCAGCGGCCTCACTCTATTCTGGGAAGACGGCAGTGGTTGGCAGAGCTGGCTGCCCACTTCCAAGGCCATCGCTGGAGACGGCCCTGGAACTAGGTGTTCTTCCGGGGGGGGGGGGGGGGGGGGGGGGGGGGGGGGGAAGCTGGGCTTTGGAAAGTAACATGCCAGCAGGTAAAGCTTTTCGGGTACTGTAAGAACTGATAAGCTCCAGAGGGGTGGGCTTCTGTTCTCCCGTCTATACATTCAAACTCCTTTCTTCTCTGCCATCTTATTTTCCTGTCACTGTATCTTGGGTTACACTCCTGCTCACCCAGCCACTGAGAAGGCTAAGACCAGTCTGGTCAACACAGTGACACTATGAAATGAATAAAAGACCGAATGAGCAAACAAGTTAATTAGTCAGGAGAAAGAAATAACAAAAAAGAGACTTCTCGCACACAAACTGACATCAGTAAGGACATTGTTGGCACAATGGCAACCAACAGTAGTGGCACAGTAACTTCCTGCCATTTAATTACTGCTTCCATCTACATTCAAGGCCATTTCCTTACAGAGATTTACCTAGTAAGATACCATGCACCTATTTCTGTTCAATGGTAACGGACTGAGTTCATGCATTAGTTCAAACAGTCATTATCAGGGAGTCAAAGAAAGATAATCAGAGGTAGTCTGAGCTTGGCATGGGGCACACAGCCTTAATCTCTCAAGCATTTGGGAGACAAAGGACTAGAGAACTGAGTGAAAGGCAGCCTACAAGGGGGAGCAGGGTAGAAGAGTACCTCAATGGTAGGATTTTTTGTTTGTTTGTTTGTTTGTTTGTTTCAAACAGGGTTTCTCTGTGTAGCCTTGGCTGTCCTAGACTCACTTTGTAGACTGGGCTGGCCTCAAACTCACGGAGATCCGCCTGTGTCTGCCTCCCTGAGTGCTGGGATTACAGACAGGCACCACCGCAACTGGCTTAATGGTAGGATTCTTGATGAGTGTACGCAGGCCCAGGGATTTTGATCCCCAACACTGAAGGGCAGAGAAACCACATATTTATTCTTTTTACCAACTCTGTAATCTAGGATCATGCAGATATCATCCAGTTTGTTTAAACAGTCTTACAGATAGGCTGACCATTTGTTTCTATCCGCTTCTTGTCCACTATAAACACTGAAATAAGAACATCTTTTTCACTTGCTCAGGCCACCCTCAACAGTAGGCTGAACAAAACTTAGAACTTTTAATACTGTAAGTGTACATCGCCATGGCTTTAAAGAGATGGTCCCAGAGATCAGAGGCCTACAGAGGCCCTGTCTCAATCAATCAACGATCTGTTAATAGTTTAATGAAACAAAAAGGAGAGCCACTTTTCCGGGGTCGCTAGCAATGCTCTGTCTTGTTAAGCTTTTCAGTTCCAGCTTTCTCCCCTTTGACTGCTACTGGATTGAAACACTCTATGCTTTTTGGCCATGTGCTTTTTTTACACATTTTCTTCCTGAACACTACGCTATGTCCTCCACCCAGCACTGTGTTATCTTACCAACACTTGAGGCGGGTTGAAGTCCAGGTTGTAGACCCTCCCACTGGAAGGATGAATCCACCGTCGGCTCAGGCGATCTTTAAGAGTCTCAAAAGGAATATTCAAACTGATCACTAGGTCCACATCACAGATTTTGTCCAGGGCTTCTGCTTGCACTAATGTCCTTGGGAACCCTTAAAACAAACAAACAAAAAACCAACAACAACAAAAACACAAACAATTAATTGTGAGTCCAGGAATTTAAAAACAAAAAACAAAAAACACTACAGAGTCCAAAAGCAGTTAACTACTTCTGTAAATATGTTTTTATAATAGGCCAGCTTGGTCTAAGGAGTCACATGATCAAAAAAGACTGCACTAAACTAAAAAATCACTAACTCAGCCTGGGCTGAAATTTGTCTTTACCACCGGGCCCCCCACCTTGTGCTGTTAGGCAAGCTGTGCTTTCTCCATTCCATTTCTTCTTCCAGTAAAGTACAGACTCCTGTCTGGGGTCCTTCAGCTCTTATGTCTTATTTCTTCTTAGGTTACCATGGGCCTTGATATCCTGAATCAACAGGCTACCTGTAACTACTCTTTATGTACCACGTAACCTAAGAACTCCAGGCTCTTGAAATATGTCAGGAGAATAATAGCAAACACCCATTTAAGAGGATACATCAAAGGAGCTGTGAATTCCAGCCATCTTGGGAAATAAGTGAAAGCCTGTCTCAAAAAAAAAAAAAAAAAAAAAGAAAAAACAAAAACAAAAAAACTGTCTACCTACAACACGTAAGCCTGACTGACTGGGGTGGCATATACCTTTAATCCTGGTGCCTAGTTAGGGTGGACCTGTGTTTGAGGTTAGACTGGTCTGCACAGCAAGTTCCAGGCCAGTCATGGCTAAAGGTTAAGCCCGATTTCAAAAGTAACTAGTCCTTTGAGAATTATTTGGTTGCTGCAAAAATTACAGGTCTGTTCTGTTTTATAAATGTGGAAAAACGACATCTGGGCTTGTAGGAACTGCCTTTTTTTTTTTTTTTTTTTTTTCCTTCTTTCCCCCACAATGAGGTGTGAAGAAAACTTGGTCACAGAAGTGAAAGCGGCTTGTCTTTTAGTTCATTCCCAGTCATTACAGAAAAAACTGTGGTTTCTCAGGCGGCCTTGCATTAGGCAGCCTTGAACAGTTACCAGGACAGGTGTGGCATCCCAAGGCCCTGGACATAGTACCATCTTCACAGATATCACGACTACTGTTACAGGTCCTGGAGAAAAGGATGCCACTTTCATCCTGAAAAGTCAAAAAGTGGGTAGTGCCATTTAACTACTTTCAAGATCTTAAAAAATAGGATTCTTAGCCTCAGCTTTATGCTTAGCTGTAGGGTTCAGGCCTAGACAAGAGTGTGAACTTGGATTCCAAGATTGGTAGGTGGTGTATTCTTCAGACTGATCTATTATGACTGTATCAAGCTAGTCTGAGCACACCACCAATTCATTCAGATGTAATTCTAACATCACAGGCTGCCAAGAACACTGCCAGGGAAAGTGTGATGAGCCTGCCTGGCCCTTTAACCACTGGTGGCCAACGTGTTTTTTTTTCAGTTCTTTGAGACACGGTTTCTCTATACAGCCTTGGTTGTCCTGGACTCACTTTGTAGACCATGCTGGCCTCAAACTCAGAGACCAGCCTGCCTCTGCCTCAAGGGCTGGGATTATAGGCATGCGCCACCATGCTCAGCCAGCACATGCATTTTTGAAATGAGCACACTGACAGGATTACAGAATAAAGACCTATCAATCACAGATGTCTATATGAATGAGGTACTCACATAGACTGGAGAAGGGGGGGGGCACTAAAGAAATGTAGGCATCTTGCTATTTTGGTCTACAGGGTTAGCATCTGTTATCTATTGATCCCGTCTAGAGCTGTGCCCTTGGAACTGAATGAGATTCAAGTTCCTGGAACATGAGCTATCCGCTCTTGAAAAGAACCCCTCATATAAATTCTGGGTTAAAATATGATGCATGAAAATCTTCGAATAGAAAAGCCCATTTCTAAGTAAGAGTAGCCATGTCTGGGAGTATAGACAACAGCTCAGCAAGACAGAGGGTGGGTTCAAAACCCATCTCTTTCATAGGCACATGAATACACACACACACACACACACACACACACACACACACACACACACAGGAAGGGAAGATGGGGGGGGCAGAGAAAAGGAGAAAGGAGAGACGAACAGAAAGTATGACTGACTGAACAAGAGAGACTGCCAACCCAGTGTGGTACTTACCCCACTAAACTAGGTTGCAGACAGCCCCTGAAACCTACGTAGTGCCTATTTCAAGTGCCCAGGACACAGGGAGGGGCCACCTGAGCCGAGGTGGTGAAAGTGAATGGGAAGCGCGTGCACATTTGGCCAACAGGTGGCAGCATTTACAATTTTTCTATATAGAATTATAACTGGGCAGGGAAGCTGACCCTGTAATCAACATTTGGGAGGAGCTGAGGCAGAGGGCTGCTGTGATGTTTTGGGCCAGTGTGGCTACGGAGTAAGGCCCAGTTTCAGAGACAGTACCAGAGGGAGAGAGAATTGCTTGCAAATGAGTGTTCTAAAGAACAGGGTGGCAGTATGCTAGCGGCCTACTGTATACAAAGTGGAAGACCATACCAAACGCCCCTCTCCCTCCCTTTAGCATGGCTTCACAGCACGCAGTACAGGAACTGTCTACCTCATTTTTTCACACCTACCTCCACTTGTCCCTAACCCAGCCTAGTAAGCACACCCCTGCCCAGTTCAAACGGCCACCCTCGGTGGAGAGCTGAAACTTCTCTGAATCCGCCACATACCACCGGAGGGCAGCTAGAGTGGAAACGCCACAGCTGGGGGCAGAGGAGGGCAATGGAAGCAGGGTGCATCTGTTTTTCTAATTTGGAGGACACTCCCAGGAAGGTTCTACTGTCACATTCTCGGAAGAACAGGCCCAGCGCCTAGTGGAAGTAACTGCAGCTTTGCCAGGTAACAGCCAACACCTGCCCCTGTTGGCCGGTCCCCACCTATGGTTGCTTCTGATGTCCAGCACAAGCCTAAGGTGCTGCTCCTGGTCTGGAGCCACGGGGCAGCAGCTATGGCTGGAGACAGGTAGGCTCCAGGGATTACTCTGAGGTCATCAGGCTTTGAGTGGCAAGCGCTTTCACCAACGGAGCCATCTCACCAGACACAATCCTTTCTCCTTCCCTGTCACCAGTCAAGTACAGAATCAGCTACGTAACTGATTTCATATATTTTAGAAATAGGCCAAAGTCTTACAAATACATGGAAGCGCTCCTACACTCTCAGAGTTAGACTGTGCTTACCAACAGCAACTCCTTGGTCACCTCAACGGATCTATTGAGCACCCAGAATCACACACAATCACAGGGGCAACCGGGAAGACTGCTCTGGGCATCAGCTACAAGACCTGATGAAAGAGAATGTACTGTTCATTCCCAACAGACATCTGCTGCCCAGTGGGGGACAGCGGCCCTCAGCTCAGCCTCAAAAAGGAAGATACACAGGGGATGAGGTCAAAGCCAGTCTAATCTGCTAAAAAACGACCCTGCAAGAGCAGGTGAAACCCTCAGTCCCAAGGCCCCTGGTCCAGTCTCTGCACATGCACCTCCTTCTGAGGGCCAGGTGGGTGGGCAGGCATACTGGTATGTCTCAGGTCTGAGATCACTCTCCAGGAAAACATGCATGCCTGGCAAGGCCGTACATTCACACAGCCTGACTTCTGGGCAGAAAAATGAATACATAAAAATAGAAATCTCCTCAGAAAGAACCAGTGAGCAGGTACTGTTCACAATGAAATATAACCCATTTTATATAACTCCAGCTTCTCAAAATTTGAGTCTAGACCCATATATAACTGATTGTCAGCCTGCAAAAAATCTGGCAGCAGAAAAAAAATGTCTGATTTCAAAATCAAGCGTGTAAGGAATCCAAACTGGCCGTAACCTCATTGAAGCCTTGCACACCTTACACTGCACAAGCCACTATGCTCAAGGCCAGCACCGGAAATGCTGCAGGCAGAGGTCAGATGAAGGACTATTGGAATCGTAATCTAGTCACTCAGAGCCGTATAATGGAGTTTAAGGTCGGCCTAAGCTCCATGAGACCCTACATCAAAAACCCAGGAGAAAGCGGGCGTGGCGGCTCACGCCTATAACCCCAGCACTCAGGGAGGCAGAGGCAGGCACATCTGAGATGGAGGCCAGCCTAGTCTACCCAACAGCCAAGGATACATAGGAAAACCCTGTCCTGAACCACCTCTCTCCCCCCCCCCCCCCCAAAAAAACAGGAGAGGGTCAAAGAAATAGTCTTCCACTTACCTAAGGCTGGCACAGAACTGACCGTCCTGCCAAGTATGCCACCACAACCAGCAAACAGCAGTGTTCTTATCAGACACACAAAGGTTTCTGTTCTTGTAAGGCACATAAAAACGCTGTGCATGATGTGACTCACCTTTAATCCTAGCACTCAGGAGGCAGAGGCAAGAGATTCTATTAGAGGCCAGCCTGGTACAAAGAGCTCCAAGCCAGCCCCAGGCTATATAGACCCTGTCTCATGAATGCATGAATGACTGAATGTCTGGTCTGTGTGCCTATTTAGAATCTTATATTACGTTTATTTATTTGGGGGGGGGGGGCAGGAACGGATATGCCTGCGGTGGTCAGAGAACAGCTTAAAGGACTTACTTCTGTTCTCCACTATTAAGTTCGAGGAGTCCAGCTCAAGTGCTTGATGAGCAATCTTGCAAGCCTTCAATACCTATTTTCTACTCACATGACACAGGCAGTAGAAAAATCTCAAGCAAAAAATGGTGTCACCAGTGAAAAATGTTTAAGAGACCTTCGAGTTACCTTTATCGTGATTTATAAGGCTTAATTATTTTCCAAACTGCAAGGGTTTGTTTTTTTTTCCATGAAAACTAATGCTATGCATGATTTGGGTCTGAGTTGACCGTATCTCCCAAAGGTCCATGTTCTGAGACTTCATTACCAGTGAGACTATGGAAAGGTCATGTGACCTTTGAGGGTCGGGGTACCTTTCTTGTTAGAGACTGACAGCTTTTGAGGATTCCAGTGGAATCCCATGAGACTTGTACATCGAAGAGCAAGGCACCCTACCCACTCTGGCTTCCTGAATCACAA